AGAGAGAGAACGGTGTATATAGATTTGTGTTTTTGTGGGAGCGATTTCAAACGTCGTGTGTCCAAGTAGCGCATATTGCTTTACCCGAGGGGAGTGCGCCTAGCAGCCAATATTGCTTTAGGTGGGCGGTGGCGTGTTCAAATTGGGCACAGACGGCTGTGACTGCCAAATGCGCGCGAATGCGCGTGTTGCAGTCGGCTAGACGACAGTAATGTCAGCGAGTTGGCACCTGGGCGGCGGCGAGGTGAATGACCTTGACACAGCAGAGCGTTGAACTGTGATGACGGCTGTCAGCTACAGCCCCCCCCCCACTGTTGAGAGCACAGTCTCATACACGCTACCGTTACCCGCGCTACTCACTTCATTTCAGTAAAAATTGTAAATACTGTTGAATTGACGCGCTGAAACAGGGTTAGGAGGTCATTATGTGTTCCCCTATTTCAATATCTTGCTAGCATTGCGCTCCTTTTGTAAGACATGACTTGAGCTCGTCGTCTCCAGGTGAACTGTGACTAACATATAATTCATTAAGGTCAAATGCGTGGCGTTCACAACCACTCCAAAACTATAATATACGCATATTTTTTGGAAATAACATGCCAATTTTAGTGGTTGCTAAGCGGTGACAAGTTTTCAAGTCATCCATTGTACATAGGTGGTTGAACAAATGCTTGATACTTAAGCATCGGGAGGCATGCTGTATTGTCTAGAAAATGATGCAAGCAAGTATGAATACAGGTAAGTATGTTAACGAGTAAGTGCCCTCCACGGGAATGGTAAACGCTAATGAATGTTGTGTATAGAAGCTATAATGAGCTCTTCTGAAAGAGCGAATGAGATATTGGGAAGGCCACAATTCTTGAAGTGACTCAACCCGTAGATGTCAGAGGAAGGCCCGAGCATTCAGCTAGTCGGTGCAAGTATTGCCCTATTTATAAAGGGAGAAAAACTGGGGAATACTCAGAAGATTTGGGCACCGTTTAAGAACCCAGACGCTCACTTCATACTATATGGGGGACATCACCGAATTCAGGAATTGCCTATACAGGCTAACTGTGAATTTGGGGAAGCAGTTGAGGGGAAGGAGACACGTATCCTGCAAAACACAGTTTATTTCTCTGACTTTTGCCCAGACGAAGCAACCTATAAAGTATCTAAATTCACTTGTAGTAGGCACTAACTGCTCATTTCCATCCCTATGGAGATCAGCAGCTTTGTTTTTCAAAATGACAGCATAGTGCTAGGATCGATTTATTCTCGGCATCTGAGTGGCCAGTAGTCGGCAGGGCAGCATAACGGTGGTTATCCGAGAGCTTCCGCGTGATAGATTGCTTTAACCGCAGCATGCAATGCAGTATATTTAACCTCCGACGAAATGCAGTACAGAAGTGTATTTGATTCATGGTGCTATAGCATGGAAAGGATACTAAATCCTGAACATGGTGCCTCCTAGGTTAAGGATTAAAACAAAACGCAAGCAGGTCTCAATAAACATGAGGTGACTTAAAATTCACTGTAGTCTATAATTTTGCATAACGACATTCGGCAGAACATGGGGATAGGAAACTCGTCCCCTGGTACACAACCTGGTGCGATAAGAGCTGACGACTAATGCTAAACATATCAAGATAATGTCAGCACCCAAATTTCGTCCCCAATCAGACGAGAGCGACGAAGGAGATGATGAGCCTTATCCGATACCAGGTTTTGTCCCACCGAGGGGCTGGAAGGACACGCTAAGTACTCCCCAAAGGCGAAAATATTTCATTAGAGAAACTGAAGACCGTCAAAAATCTCGTTATCATACCTTAGACCGACAGAAAAGTAGAAATGTGTTGAGGGGTTGCCAGTTCAGTGTCCCACGAGAAACCAAATTCCTTAAAAGGCCGACATACGGAGTTGTCGTGGTGACGCAAAAAATACCGCCTATGAGCCGTCACATGGTGAGAGCCCAACAAACGATGAAAGCCCTCCCACTGTGCAGAATGAGAGCGCTCTCTCCTGGCTTCTGGTATCCTTTAAAGACGCTCCAAATTGGGCACTGATAAATAAACTATTTGGGCATCTTGTTGTTCTGACCGTCGTCGTCGTCGTCGTCGTCGTCGTCGTCGTCGTCATCGTCGTCGTCGTCGTCGTCGTCGTCGTCGTCGTCGTCGTTAAACCAGTCCTGGTGCTGCCGACATACGCAGTCGATGACGGTAATCGCCGACGACGGACGCCGATCCTCCTTGGAAGGAGTCTCGTTTTGTAGGACCATTTTTCACCTGCTGTCTCAACTGGCGTTGTGATTGATTGCGCGACGGCGTCGGCTGCTTCCTCATTCTGTCCCGACTGAAAATGGACCCCAGCATCCGTTTTAGTTGGAGCATCTGGTGACTCAACTGGTGTCAACTTGTACATTTGCATGCGCGATCTAGCTTTGACATTAAGGGGCCCTGTTTTAAACGTCAGACAGCCAATAATAACTCTTTTCAGGGTGTGCACATTGTCTCACTTTTAAGCTCTTCCCAGGACTACAGTCAGAAGGCAGTCCGGGGCGCTTTCAGCTGTAGATCAGCACAATGGCTCAATGGCCCATCGGGTGTATTGGTGAACGAAACAGCCGCAAAGCCACATGTTTAATAAAAAAATGATCATTCTGGTATCCTCCAAACATGGTTGTCATCGCGCGGTAAAGACGTTAGTTGTCACAGTCTTGGATGTATTGTTGTTCCGGGTGATTCAGTTGTTTCCAAACAATCATTTCTCAAAGGTAACCGTTCAGTGCTAGATAAGTATCTTCCAAGTATAATCAACACTTTGAGGTTCCAAATAAATGGGCACTTTTTGGTGGTCACAGCGGACAAAGTTGTATTCGTCGTCGTCGTCGACGTCGTCGTCTTCGTCGTCGTCAGCCAAACAAACCCCACCAGAGGCCTGCAGGACCTGGGATTCCACCCCGCATTCAACTGGTACTGAACATTACTAAATCCAATGTCCTTCCATTGAGCTACGGGCGCGTTGTTCTGTCAATTGCGTTCTGACTATTCATTAGAATCTCCTAATCTGGACTTTTGCACTCAGTCTAAGCAAGAAACTTAAAGCATTTTTTCCCCAGTATGAATTGAAAACAAGCATGCACAGCAGAATTTATTGGGGCCAACAAATTTCGTGACGGCTTTTCAACTGCAACCCGTCTCTGCATAACATAGGTAAACGAATGAAAGCGCACATCAGTATGAATTTGTACAGAATGGCAGTGCATAGGAGCAAGGTCAAAGTTCATGCTTGTTTTCAATAAGCAAGAAACATTTCCGGAGTCCAGTAAGCATCGTTATTCGATCTTCACTTCACCTGACTTTCCATACCCACGGTTTTACATGACTGAGATATTGGCCAGTAATTAACGATACTGTGACTCTCAGTGAGCGCCAGTCCACTGCCATTAACCAACGCTGTGATTATCAATAAAAGGTACCGCAAAAACCGATAGCGTATACCCTCAAATCCGAAGGATCTCACCAATGGCCCCACCATCCAACGCGGGTCCATTAGCAAAATACATGCTCTGGCTACGCCTTATCATGGGGAATTTGCAATTGCTCTCGCGAGTAAGTCAGGTCATGCACTCACAAAAAAAAAATACAATTCATAAACTTGGAAGTCAAAAACCCATCCCTTATTGCACTAAGTGCCACTCACGGTGTGGTTCCCCTTACACCAACTCGTCAAACTCAAACCTGCCAGACATCGACTTAGCAAGGTAAGATTCCCGGATCAGCAGAGGGCAGAAAATAGAAAAAGGTCTTGTGTCTCTCGCCGACATTTTTTACGGACATTTTTGCTTTTTTACTTTCCGCACACACTTCCTCTGCACATTCATCTGGGCGTCACTTTGCGGAAAAAGTTGGATTATGTTCTTTAACTTTTGCATGAGGATGGCTACTAGATTCTCGAAATTTGGTCACATTCGCGATGGGGATACTGTGGATCTGGATGCCAGATCCGCTAAGGTTGTCAATGTCGCTGCCGTTGAAAGCTATATGTTGAGAGTTAATATCCGTAAGAGCACCGATGTAGTCTCCGTCAGACGTCTACAAAACCTATGCTACTATTAGCAGACACATGATTAAACACTTTGGCCGATGGCCAATTGCGCTTCGGATTTCATACACGTTTGCAGACTTCCCACATTCATCGATCAATAAAGACCCCACTGCGCTGTCCTCTCACCCACCCACACGCAACGAGCTCAGCCACCTAAACTAGGCTTTTTATGCACCTGCACTTACTTAATCGGTCGCTTTACGTTCGTACAACTAAGCGCCATGACTAATTCAGTCAAAGGCATTGCCTATTACCATTAAAATATACTGACCTATTTATTCGAAGGCTTGCATTGGCGACTGGAAGCCTAAGACTTAGGGCAGCCCTACGCATTGCAGCGAACCCCTAGGACTTGTCTTCCCTAACATCCACGACGCGCCCACATTTAGCTCCAGATGCTCCATCGACTTTCAGTTGGAGGATAGGATTTCAGAATACGCAGAGATATCCGCGTACTTGAGACTAGTGCACCCAACTGGTTACACATTAATAAGCAAGTGTTGTCGCTCATTGCTGGAGGCAGAGTCGGGAAGTCATCAAGGCCTAGACAACTCACCAGAGTTTAGAGTAACTTCAGTTAGTGCTGACAAGCCGCGTGCATAGGGGCCGCGAATGACAGATCGGTTGTCTGTAAGCACCGTTCAGGCGGAGAAGGCTATTCGTCGAGCCTAAATAACCAAAGACAAATTGGCTAAACAACGCATCCTCAAAACCAGGTGGAGTAAGTTTCCGTCTGCTCTGAGTATTGGAAACAGTGCTTCACCAACCATGACAATTTGACGTTGCCTTCAATTCCCCAAAACGTATCCTCGGCTCTCCCTCGCTCCAATTACACGGACACATGATCGACACCATCGATATCTATTCACTCCAGTCAAAGGCCAGGATCCCTACTTCCAAAACTCAAATGCAGTGCACATCAGTAATGGTGAACGTGTAGCACCGCCACAAGCCAACTGCGCGGAATGTATTCAGTCCTGTTCCGACTCCTACAATTTCGTGCCTGATCTCCACAAGGTGAGGTCTGCCTTGGTCAGTATCACCTACCTTATCCCCTATGTTTACTCATGCTCAGCATTCACAATGTTGCGCTCGGCGCCATCTCACCGCAGCATCTTGCGTATTCAACATAATCCCAATCGTCCTTTTACAAAAGCTATCTTCAGTTGGATAGCACTACGACGCATTTCGACATGTTTCCGACTGCATACCTAGATGTGGAGGCCTAACGGTACTTCCCTGAACCCGAAGACTCCTTGATATTTAGCAAAACCAAACACTTACTACTGCTTTCCAGCCTCACTCTGCCGAACTCCATTATTGCCAGGTCCGTGAAGCGGACTTAATTTTGACCTCGTTGGCATGGTTAGGTAAGAAATCGTGCCAGTTTGTTTTGATATCCATAACCAGCTACTTCATTTTATTCAGTAGGGTTTGTTTAGTGCATTCCTTCAGGGCTTTGTGGCGTGACCCATGACCTGACACATTGACACCACCGCGTTCACAGATTACCTTCAATATGCCCTTTTGTCGTGATTACTTAATTGGCATGCGGTCGCTTTAAGCTTTCTCCCCTCAACTATATAACCTGTTTTGTCTTACCACGTGTGTACGCCTTGATTTCCTCCTTTTGCCAAGGTACANTGAAATCCATCAGCTACTGCGGAATAACCGCTTAATATTCACAAACCGCCAACAGGCAGCCAGTAGTATAGCATTGTGCAATAATTTACCGTACTAACAACACAGGTATTAGCTAAAAGCCCAGACACGCGTGTTTCGCCGATCTTGTGCCGCTGCCTGACGCAGCTGCGAGGGGTTCGGCTCGTCAGTGGGTCCCCCAGCTTTCCCCGTGTGTTTTCTGGTATATGAACTCCAGTTTCAACTTGCCTTGCTTAATTTCCGAGGAAATTAATGCGCGAACTTGGAGTAACTCTTTCGAAACAGGCCTTTTCAGGCACGGTCCGAAATTTGATATGAATATTTGAGCTGAAATCCATCAGCTACTGCGGAATAACCGCTTAATATTCACAAACCGCCAACAGGCAGCCAGTAGTATAGCATTGTGCAATAATTTACCGTACTAACAACACAGGTATTAGCTAAAAGCCCAGACACGCGTGTTTCGCCGATCTTGTGCCGCTGCCTGACGCAGCTGCGAGGGGTTCGGCTCGTCAGTGGGTCCCCCAGCTTTCCCCGTGTGTTTTCTGGTATATGAACTCCAGTTTCAACTTGCCTTGCTTAATTTCCGAGGAAATTAATGCGCGAACTTGGAGTAACTCTTTCGAAACAGGCCTTTTCAGGCACGGTCCGAAATTTGATATGAATATTTGAGCTGAAATCCATCAGCTACTGCGGAATAACCGCTTAATATTCACAAACCGCCAACAGGCAGCCAGTAGTATAGCATTGTGCAATAATTTACCGTACTAACAACACAGGTATTAGCTAAAAGCCCAGACACGCGTGTTTCGCCGATCTTGTGCCGCTGCCTGACGCAGCTGCGAGGGGTTCGGCTCGTCAGTGGGTCCCCCAGCTTTCCCCGTGTGTTTTCTGGTATATGAACTCCAGTTTCAACTTGCCTTGCTTAATTTCCGAGGAAATTAATGCGCGAACTTGGAGTAACTCTTTCGAAACAGGCCTTTTCAGGCACGGTCCGAAATTTGATATGAATATTTGAGCTGAAATCCATCAGCTACTGCGGAATAACCGCTTAATATTCACAAACCGCCAACAGGCAGCCAGTAGTATAGCATTGTGCAATAATTTACCGTACTAACAACACAGGTATTAGCTAAAAGCCCAGACACGCGTGTTTCGCCGATCTTGTGCCGCTGCCTGACGCAGCTGCGAGGGGTTCGGCTCGTCAGTGGGTCCCCCAGCTTTCCCCGTGTGTTTTCTGGTATATGAACTCCAGTTTCAACTTGCCTTGCTTAATTTCCGAGGAAATTAATGCGCGAACTTGGAGTAACTCTTTCGAAACAGGCCTTTTCAGGCACGGTCCGAAATTTGATATGAATATTTGAGCTGAAATCCATCAGCTACTGCGGAATAACCGCTTAATATTCACAAACCGCCAACAGGCAGCCAGTAGTATAGCATTGTGCAATAATTTACCGTACTAACAACACAGGTATTAGCTAAAAGCCCAGACACGCGTGTTTCGCCGAT